CTGGAACCTCAACTCTCCCATAGAGTTGTAGACCCCTAGAGCCAACTGCCTTCAGGGCATCTCATGTGTAACAGGTCCCACACTGAGTTCATAATTCCCCTCATTCGCAAAGCTCCCCTTCAAACCAATACCCCTGACCTTCTTCCTGTTTTCTCTTTCTAAGTGAATGGAATCACCATCTGCCTAATCCTGCCCAAGTGGGATCCCTGGGAAGTATGGCAGCTCCCCTACATTCATTCATTCAGTCCCTGAGGCTTGTAAAATCTACTCCTTAACATTACTACCATCTACTCTCCCCTCTCCATTCCCGTGCTTCTGCCTTAATTTAGAATTTTTTCATTGTTAAAATTAATAAAAAGTAGGCTTACTGAGAGTACTATATGTGGGGAACTTACACATAATTCTCACAATGGAGAATAATGTATTGAGGTATTGTTACTCATATTTTTACAGATGAAAAAACTGAGACCCAAAGAGGAAAAATAGCTGCCCAAGCTCACACAGTCCAGAAACGGCAGAGCTAGGGTCCATTCAAATTTAAGTCTTCCCGGCTCCAAAGGTCAAATCCTCCCCTCCATTTTAGCATCCTCTTGTTGCAATAGCTTCCAAAATGGTCTCCCTGGATCTTGTCTCATATTCTGAGTCTAACCAATCTACATGGTAGACAAAATGAGCTTTCCTTTTTAAAAAATAATTTTTATTGTGAAAATAACACATACAGAAAAAGTGCATAATAAGAACACCTTAAATTATTATAAAGTCATCTTTCTAAAATGTAAATCTAATCTTGTTCTTGACATTTTCTTAACCTTTTCAAAGTCTCCCCATTGCCCTTCGGGTCAAGTCAAACCTTAGCAAAGTGCAAAGGGTCCACCAGGATGTCACCTCAGCCTGATGCTCCTTCAGCCTGATCTCACACCAGGTCAGATGGCTCTCCCTATGCTCCAGACTCACAGGCTGCATCTCTATGCTCTGGGCTTTGATCTTACCTGGCTCCCAACTGAGAACATGGTATATATTCTTCTCCAGCCCTTGCTTCACCCCCTCCATTGGATACTTACTTTGCTCTTCAAGAACTATGTCTTATTGCTCTTGTCAGAAGATGCTGCATCTAAAGGGTAAAAGGATTCTTGGCAACATTGCATGGCCAAAGCAGCACAGTTTGTGAAAGGCTTCCCTGTTCTCATGGAGAATCATAAATGGTGAAGCTCCAACATACTTAGAACATGTCTACTTTGTCCAAAAAAAAAAAAAAGTAGAGATTTGAGGCAATCATTTTTGGTTATTTATGGTGAGTTGGAGAACAGACTCTACTTTGACTAAAGATTATACCTCAGTAATTTGTACCCACAGCTCCTCACCACCCCAAAACTCAGGTCAAAGCAGCTGGTAATGTTGATTATTATTGACATCACTTTATGTAACTCATCCAGCTGTGTGAACTAGAAACATCAGACACATCCTTGACATTTCGCTTCCTGCCCTCTCAACCTATCACGATGTCCTATTTTGCTTCCTAAATTATCTCTTGAAACCACCCAGTTATCATCATCTCCAGCATCACTCTCCTCATCCAAGTTATCATTGTCTCTCAACTGGACTACTGTGATAGCCTCTTAATTGGTCCACAGAATCCACTCTGGCCTCTTCTCATCCATTCTCCATATTGGAGCTGGTTATCTTTGCAAAACATGAATATGATCACATCTTCGACCCATCCCCATCCCCACATGGCTAAAACTTTTAAATATCTTTTCTTTCCTTTTACAACTAAGTCAACATTCTGTAACATTCCCAGCACCTAGAACAAGATTTGGCACACAGAAGGCACTCAATAAATTTTGATTAAATGAATAAATGAATATGAACTTCATCCTTACTCCTCTTTTCTTTAACCAAGAATTCCAGCCCTCTTGACTTTCTTTCATTTCTGTTCCCTCTTATTGCTTTTCCCTCTATTTTATGCCCTTTTCCTTTCCTCCTTCACCAAGTTAATTCCTACCTTCTTCCTTTGGATCTGAATTTAATTTTCATGTCTCCAGAGCAGTCTTCCCTAACCAACCTGACTAGTCCAAAGTCCTCCTTACAGGCTCTCATTACACCATGAGACTCTTCTCCACAATGCTTGTCACATTTGCAGTTTTATATGTGCTTGTGTGACTACTTAACTGATGTCCACTGTCTTGCTATTCTGTAGCACTATGAAGGCAAGACTGTGTCTGTTTTCCCTCATCTACTTGGCACAGTGTTTTGACATTCAGGAGACATTCAATAAATAGCGAACAGATGAATGAATGCATTATAAATTAATGTACAGAGTGCCCATCCCTCGTACAATTCCATTTTAACGTAGACCTGAAACCTAGAAGCTCATTTGAGAGTCAAATCACAAACGATACTTCTCCTTCCACTCTTCTTTTTTCTTTGAAAGTCTTTAATGAAGTCTAAGATACAACTTCTGAACTCCCAGTATACAATGCTTTCAAGTATTATTTCATCTGAATTGTTACAGGACGATTGTCCTTTTTTACAAGACACTTTTCTCGGTCTTGAGAACCCAAAAATAAAGTAGGCAGAATTCACAATAATTAGCCTAAATAAAATCAAAACCTCTCTAACCTAAATCAGGATCTCTCTTACTATGAATGAATTGTAGACTTTTCTTTTTTTCTGGGCAAAAAAAATAGCCCAGTTAATTTTAAACACAAATAATAAGTATTTGTATTGATACTTCTTCTTAGGGTTTATCGGTGTGCATGCAGGATGTTTGTTTTGAAGAAATCGCAATGATTTAAGCATCAACGGATGTAGTTTGTCAACATGCCAGACATTCCTAGGAAAAATTAAACCATTAGGTTATACAGTTTTTAAAAGATTGATATATATATAGATAGATGTTTTTAGGGACCATGTCTTACTACTATTTTGGTAAGATGTTTTGTCAAAAGGAAAAGAGGTGTCTCGTCATATTGCAGGCCAGAGGCAGTGCTGTCTGTTGTAGATACTGCTGCCCTCATGGGAATGAATCATCAGAAATGGAGAAGTCCTAATCCACTAAGGGCATATCTCTTTTCCTTGAAGTAGAGATTTGATGCAATCGTTTTAAATACTTAGATGATTTATGGTGGGATGGAGATAGAGTATAGAGTCCTCTTTGGTTAAAGACTACACCAGAGTTGTTGCTAACCCTACCTCACAACTCAGGTGTAGAACTGAGTTAATAATACTCAGTTCACGACACTAGCTTATTAGGTGGCGCTAGGTCCCTCCTTGTTGTCTTTATTTCTTTTACTCAATATCCCTTCACCCATTCCCCTCTTTATGGTAAGCACTTGCTCATATTTACTATGTATATCATTGTATATGTATATATCCTTATAAAGTACAAACACTGGCCTACAAGGCCATACATGATATGGTGCCCGCTAACTCTAACTTCATCTCTTCCTACTCTCCCCCATCTCATTTTCTTTAGCCGCGCTGGCCTCCTAGCTATTTCTTGAACTTACTAAGCACTTCAGGTTCTTTGCCCTTGCTGTTTCTTCCACCTAAAATGCTTATTACTCAGATATCCACATGGCTCACTCATTTCCTTCATGGCTTTGTTCAAATATCGCTTTATTTTAAAAAAGGAGGAGGGAAGGAAACTTCCCTAATCACCCTATTTAAAACAGTAATCTTCCTTAACACTGTCTGTCTCTATATTGTGGTTTTCCTCAGTTATAATTGTTGCCACCTGAGATATTTTTTGTACCTATCTTTGTTTTTTGTCTGTCTCCCCTCACTACAATGAGAGGCAATAGGACATCATGGTTGAAAGCCAGACCCTAGAGTTAGAGTTACAAGGCTTGAATTCTCACTCTACCACTTACTACGTGAGCTTCAGCAGGTAGCCCTGTGCCTCAATTTCCTCAGCTCTAAAATAGGGATGATGATAGCATCTACCTCATATGGTTACAATTCTATCTGGCACACAAGCCACACTAAGTATTACCTGCTGTCATTATTACATTTACTTTTGTCATTAGAATTAAGCTTGATGAAGGCAGGGACTGAGTTTCCTTTGTATTTCCAGTGCCTAGACAGTGCCTGGCAAAAGGTACTGAATATTAATTAAATGAATACTATTTCCCATGTGCATGGTTTTTTGTGGGTTTTTTGCTGAGGGAGATTGTCCCTGAGCTAACATCTGTGCCAATCCTCTCCTATTTTGTATGTGGGTCACTGCTACAGCACAGCTGCCAATGAGTGGTGTAGGTCCACATCCGGGATCCCAACCTGGGCTGCCAATGCTGAACACGCCAAATTTAACCACTATGCCACATGGCAAGCCTCTGCATGATTTTTTAAAGAAAAAAATTTAAATTTAACATACATATAAAAAATGCACAGGTCATAACTGTACAGCTCTATGAATTTTCACAAATAAACAAACCCATGCAACCACCACCCAGCCCACCAGAAGCTAACACCCATCAGCTATTAGGATTTACACACCTAACAGCAGTGTGTGAAAGTTCCCATGTTCATGCGTTTTTAAGTGACATGAATATTATAGAAGAGATTTTTTTCTTTTACTGTTTTCACTGAGTACTATGCTTTGAAGATCCACATATGTTGCTGTGCACTTATTCCCTCTAACTATTGCATAATATTTGGTGAATATGCTTTCATCAACTTAATTCTTTTTCTGATTTTTTGGATTGGTGCTTATCAGTCTAGCAGGGCTTTTGTTTGTCTACCCAGCACCCATTCCCCTCTTCTTCCATCCATACAAGTACCTGTGCTCATCCACATGGCCAAGTGCTCCAGCCCCAGTCCGCAGAGGTGACTCTTAGGTCATCTAAACCAATCATAGTACTTTTATTTCCCTTACGACCCAGTTCTGACCAATGAGACTTGACGGGAAGTCTCTGCAGTATGGGACAGTGGGGAAGTCGCTTCTGAAAAGGTTGCTTAGCTCTTCTATGGAGATACAAGGAGAGGTCCTCTTTTCTTACCTCTGGGCGTTGGTGTGAGTTTGTGATAGCTGGAGTTGCTGCAGTCATCTTGTGACCATGAAGGGAGCTAGAAAAAAGACAGAAAACTCTGGGTCCATCATGACAGCACTAAGCAACAAGCCATCCTACCTCCATGCTTGTTAGATGAGAAAATAATTTTATTTGGATTTTCTTACTTGTAACCAAAAGGATCCCATTACAATAATTAAAACATTAGCATTGGCTTGTTTCTTAAAAGCTATTCTATATTTAAAATGGATTCATATAACAATATTTCTCAGTCCCCTTATTTTTTTTTAAATAATTTGAATTTGATGCCCTTTATTGACTATGAGGTTAATTTTATGACACTGAGATCATCTAACAAATAGGTATCTCTTTCAACTTACTGCTCAGCATGGTGCAATTTGTTCATTTAGAATTTTAGAAGAACATAGTTGACTTTGAACAAATATGATCTGCTAACTAAAGGACAGCAGAATACATTTTGAGTTAGTGTTTTATTCTTGTATCTTAGAAAAAGTATGTAGCCCAAATTTTCAAATATACTAGCAATCATGTCTCCTATAATAAACATATTTTATAAATTTTTAGAGCAACTTTGTTTTATTAATTTTAATTTTTGGATAGGTGATACATACATTGATACAAGATACACTGTCACTTACACGAATTCTTGATTTATTTCACCAGTCTTTTAAAATTTCAGCATTTTATCTTCACACAATATAAAATAATATAATTACACTTGATGGAACATCTATTCTGTGTTAGGCACTGAAACTGGGCCTTTGAAAGTATTATTAATTTTACTCCATGAGGTACTTTTATTCTAATTTTTAGGAGGATGAAATGAGGTTCAGAGAGGTTAAGCAACTTGTAGGTTACACAGCAAGTGAGGAGCAGGGCTGGAATTTGAACCCAGACCTATCAGATTATAAAACACACACATTTAGCCACTTACCATATGACTCCTCTAATCTTTTACTGTAATAACTACATGTATATTTAAGGCCAGATGGGAGGTTCCATAACAAGTGTTTAGCCCTTTAAAGTAAGCTGAAATAATAAGAATAAGTAATGTCTAACATTTATTGGGCACATCCTGTGTGCTATGCAATACTTTTAAATGTTTTAAGCATATTAACTAATTTACTCTTTGCAAGTTTATCTTCAGATAAATATTGAATTATCTGGAAATAAACATAGCAGCTTCAAAAAAAAGCAGCAGTCTAAAAATGAATTCATATTCTGATCATATTTAACATAGAAATAAACTAGAGGACAATTCGTTGTTTCATTGTATCATTTGGGAACTTTTTCCATTGTAAGAGACCTAAAAAATCTCAAATCAAACTGCCTTAAGCCAAAAAGAGACTACTGGCTTGCATAATTGAGAATCTCCAGCAGCAGAGATTCCCCCAGCAGGGATGGATTCCAGGTTCCCTCATGTTCCACAGTTTGTTTTTTCCATCTTTTGGCTCTAACCCCACCAGCTACCCCCATTTTGTAGACTTCTTTCTCAGATTCCAGTTGGTTATTCCCAGCACCTCCAAGTTCTCCCCTCCTGATGGCAAGATAAGAGGCAGAGCTCCCACCTCATATATACCCAAGTTCAAGGGCAGAAGGACTTTTTTAACAGTCCTAGAATTACTCTAATTGCCCTGGCTTAAGTCACTGCCCACTCCTGAAACAATCCTGTGGCAAAGGAGATGCAATTCCCTGATTCTGATAAGGGAGATGAAACTAACTGGTTGCCTTATGGCCAAGTCACTGGCTCTACCTCTGGAACCAGAGGTTCAGCCATTTGAACTGAGAATAGGGGTAGAGATATGAGCACTCAGAAGAAAATCAGTGGAACGGATGCTATTGTAGATGGTCCCCCCACGGACCACACCTCCTGCCATTCACATCTTTTGTAGTCCCCTCCCCTCAAATCTGGGTCCTATGACTAGCTTTTTTTTTTTTAATAGAACTTATTTTAAAGAAGAGTTTTAGATTTATAGAAAAAATGAGACCATTATACAGAGTTCTTATATGACCTCCCACCCAATTTCTCTTATTATTAACATCATACATTATGTGGTACATTTGTTAAAATTAGTGAATATATATTAGTACACTACTATTAACTAAAGTCCATAGTAATTTATTTAGATTTTCTTAGTTTCTGCCTAATTTCTTCCTCTGCTTCATGATCTTACCCAGAATCCCACATTACATTTACTAGTTATTGTCTCCTTAGGTTCATCTTGGTTATGACAGTTTCTCAGAATTTCCTTTTTGATGACCTTGCCAGTTTTGAGGAGCAATGATCAAGTATTTTATAGGATGCCCTTCTATTGGAACTTGTCTGAAGTTTTTCTTGTGATTAGACTGGGGTTTTTGGAAGGAAGACCACAGAAGTAGAGAGTCATTTTCATCCCATCAAATCAAGGATATATACTGTCAACATGATTTATTGCTGTTGATACTGACCTTGATCTCTTATGGCTGAGATATTCCTTACCTCCCTTCCATACAGGGCTCTTTAGAAGGAAGTCATCATGAGCAAACTACATGTAAGGAGTAGGGATTTATGCTTCTCCTCCCTGAGGGTGAATTGCCATTTTAAGCCACTAAATTTTGGGGTGCTTTGTGATGTAGCAAAAGATAACTGAAACAGAGGCAAAAATCTACTAGATACGTTATTGACTCCCAAAGTAGAACAAGTTTCATTAAACAACATATAATGATGGCTTTCTTGTTTTATCACCCAGAAGAAATCATTTATCCAGAAATACATGACAAAATGTTAATGAATCTTCATCTTCTCAGATAAAGTTATTTAACCTCTGGGTCTCTCAAGGTAACATCCTGATCAGAAACACTGCTCCACACAGATAGTTAGGCTTTCTAAAGATATTAAGGTCAGTTCAAAACTAATATTAGTCTTGAGTAACTCTGCTGCCTCCCTAACAATTAGTCATAGCAAAGTAGACTTATGAATAGGATTTTCAGGCAGCAGAACCTTTAATAATCCAGAAGCCTGAAATGTTTCCCAGTATCACGGTGGCAAATATATTTCTACATTTGAGCCAATCTAAACTTCTATTGGCACTTTTCCAGGTGCTTGGGGAACACAAGTCTCCATTCTATCAGAGGGCAGAACATATTGCTTTTCTACATGAACTGTACATTTCCGGGAGTCACTGGGGGGTTGGGAGGGCAAAGTGGAGAAAGAAGCCAAAATACACCTCCAGAAGAGATAAGATTATAAGTGTCAAGATTAGATTACCAGATTCAAAGAGGTTATGTTACATTTATTTTTTTTTTCTACAAGGGAAAATAGATTGGATTTCTATTTTATTCCTGGTTCCCTCTCCTCTCTTTATTCATATTTCCTGCGTCTCATTGAGAACAGTGTGCTCTCAAACATTTTATTTGCAAATATATTTAAGCTTTGCTAATACGTATTCATTTTATCTAGAATTTGAACAATTTGACTTGGCTTGGGTTTAAGTTTATCTTGAGATAATGAAAAAAGTATTTGCCTAATGAATTAATAGAATAAACAATGCTAAGAAAGATTTGTTTTAAAATAGTTAAGATCAAAATATTTTTATGGTCTTAAACATTAATTGTGTATTATAAAAAATTGTATTGCTAATCTGCAAGCAAGTCTTACCTATTCTCTGGAGATTCAATCTGGAAACACTTACTAATTAGCTTAAATTGCCAAAAACAGCTAAAACATATTTCTTTTCAAATATTCACCAAAAAGGGCCCCTAGAGTCTAGAGATAGAAGGTTCCTTGAGGCCACAGATAGTGCCCTGGCTCCTGAACATGAAGACTGGATCTTAGGAGGCATTTAATAAATACTTACTGAATGAATTAATCAATGATTCAGACTTCAATGATTTAAGTTTAGCAATTTGTGTAATACAGAGGTCTCAAGTGGCAGTTCATGGGCCAAATTAAGTCTGCAGTATTGTCTGGTTTGGCCTGCATATTGTTATATTTTGTTTTGTTAAAAAGGTATTGGCATAGGAAGACCCTGAACTCACCTCCTTCTATGGACACACTGAAGCTACACTTATATATAAAGTAATTCCTGCTGAAGAAGAACTGAGGGCTGATTGAACAGTTTCTGTAAAACAAACAATAGAGGAACCACATAGAGTGGATAGGAGAGACAGAGACACAGTATCCACAGAAACCCCACCCCCAATGCCACGACCTGCAGCAGGGAGGATGTCACTGAGGGGCCCAGGTGGAGGCTTGCTTGCCCTGGGGTACAAGAAAAACACCAGGAGTTTAAAAATCACCTGGACTATATGGGAAGGAAATTCCACTTATTAATTCTACAGTATCTGCCAAATGGGCAAGGAACATGGGAACTCTCTCTCTGGAGTCAGACGCGCTGCCAAGCCCCATTTTTTGTGTTCCCCCCTGACCTTGATAGGCAAGGGGGAACAGAGCCCAGATGTTCTAGCTGGCCTGCTAAGGTTGCCAAAGCACGACCTGGGTCCCTGGCCCATACCAGCTCTAGCCATCCCACCAACGTAGCCCATGTGCAACACACACTGGGACCCCTTTGCCCCCCACATACTCCAGCTCCAGCTGGCCTGCCAAAGCTGCCAAGCACATGCAATCTATACAGGAGACACTCCTATATGAGGCCACTCCTTCAAAACTGGGAGAGGTAGGTGTTTTGCCTAATTCTTAAAATCAAACAGAGAAAGTCAAACAAAATGAAGACACAAAGGTATATGTTCCAAATGAAAAAACAAGACAAAACGCCAGAAAAAAAGACCCTAATGGAACAGAGATAAGTAATTTATCTGATAAAGAGTTCAAAGTAATGGTCATAAAGATGTTCACCAAACTTGGGAGAAGAATGAGGGAACACAGTAAGACTTTCAACAAAGACTTAGAAAATTTAAGAAAGAACCAATCAGACCTGAAGAATAAAATAACTGAAATAAAAAATATGCTAGAGGGAATCAACAGCAGATTAGATGATGCAGAAGAATTCATCAGCAATCTGGAAAACAAAATAGTGGAAATCACCCAATTAGAACAGC